CATCCATCCATCCATCCATCCATCCATCCATCCATCCATCCATCCATTGTCTGAACAACTTATTACCAAATGGGGTTGCTGGGGGAGGGTTAGGGTTAGAGTTAGGGTTAGGGTTGGCTAGAACTTTTGTTTTCTAAAAAGTTGAATAAACCTACAAAGAAAAATAATTGTTAATTTATTTTTAGAACTCTCAGGAGGCAGTCTTAGATGTTTAATAAGTGTGCCCTGTGACTTATCAATGCTTAATCCTTTAACAGGTATTTTATCAACAAAATTGGGATGAACTCATTTTTAGGGTTGTGTCATATGGAGAGTTATTCATGAAAAATTGGATATATTGTGGCAGCTTGCCAGGCTCTGTTGGAAGCAAAGCTTCTGTGAACAGCTAAACTGGCTGGTGGTGCTTTTTCTTTTTTCCTCTTAAATTGAACTGATGTCCGTGAGCAACCTAATGGCAACAAGCATGTCAAATGGGACATCTGCAATTTTACAGAGTGATAGTTTTCTCATCAGGTGGAACAGTTAAAGAGGCAAGTTGTTTTCATATGTTTTTTAATCACTGCATCAGCATTTAATTTTGTGCATCAGGGATCTTGACTTGCCCTGCTTGTGAGGAAATGTAAAGTAGACTGTAAACGTTTCATGGCATATGACTACTAAAGTTGAGATATGCAAGAAAATGAGGAAATATCCTATTTTGGTTTGCGCTCAGCTGTCATAGCAGACACAAAATGGTCTAGTTTCTTTAGAAAAGTTGTTGTTTTTTTTCGATTGACAGTTCACTTATTGGTTTTCACTTTTAAACATTGAAATAAATGTTTCTTGAAAAATTCCAGGGCAGGGAGAACTGTTTGGGGAGACAGAGCTCGACACTTGATCGAGATTCATATGGGCCAGTGAGCCAGAACATACACTGTACAGTATCTCTTCCTTCTTCCTCCATCTTGTTTTTTCAAACAGTGCAAGTTGTTCTCTCACATTATCAGTAAAAAAAAGTGATAATGAGATGAAAAGGAAGATAAAAAGTGAGAATATACGGAAAAGTGAGAGGAGAATTAAATCAAACAAGAATGAGTTAACAGAAGGAGAAAAATGAGAAGAAGAAAAGTAGATAAACATTGTGTTCTTGCCATGGGCGTGACTGTTTTTGTAGGTATTGAGATTAAGGTTACATCTCATTTGTCTCTTCTATTTTTCCAAAGGTTTTTCACATCACTTTCTAATAGTCTCCCCTGCTATTCTCCTTTTTTCTTCTGTGTTTTTTCCCTTCAGTCTGTTGCTTTTACCCCCTTCCACAGTTGTCATATTAATCTGATCTCCGAGGCACATATTTACTTACTGTGGTCGCACAATGGATGAAGCAATCGCAGTGAAAACATGTGCAAGCAGGCATGCGTATCTTTTTACATGTTGCGGCATACATTTGCATGTCTTGTTACCACAGCCTTATAGAAATTCTTTCAATAATTTCAGGTTAAAGTATGGATGCTTTATTACCCTTTTTCTTTGCCCCCTGGGAGAATTCAATTTAATTTCTAACGGCGATTTTATCAGATGCAGAAGAGACAGGTCCTTTTAAAATTAACTGGGGTTGTGATACTTTGATTTTTTTAATTACTTTTGAGAAAAAAGAAGTTTGAACTTATCTTAATACACAGGTCCCTTATTACCATATAATTTAAGTACATAGTGAGTTCAATATTTACGGTGAAAATATGTTTTGTTGCAGGAATTACTTTTTCGTATTGCTTTTCGTATTTTTATTTAGAATATTTTCGTACTGCAATCTTTGGACAGACTCATTAGCGCCACTATCTGTCTCCATCCAGCCTTTACTCTTTAAAGAGTGTTCAATTTCACTCAAAGGCAACTTTTAAAGCAAGACTGATGAGAATCATGGAGGTTTTTCTATGAGATCATTATGTGACCTGTTTGCAGACCACTCTTTCGATAGTTTTAGATAAGAATGGCAGGAATGAGACTGGCCAATATTTTGCCCTAAAATTTGATGGGAGGGATAGTTTTTAAAGGTCTTTTTAGCAACAGCATGTGGGCTTGCTGGCACAATGATGAGATCTTGGTTGGAATTGGATCTACAGCTCATGTAGTAGATAAGCAACATGTTAGGGAGTTTGAACTCCTCACCCTAAGAAAGATGGTTGAAGAAATGAAATGGTGCAGTATGAGATCGCAGCATTTGGAGTTCGCTTTATCCTGAGCTGAGGGAAACAGAGAAGGCCACGTTGGACTAATACGTGTCTATAGTTTGGTAAATTTTGGGTGGTGCCTGAGTGGTTCAGTGAACTGCTTGATGGCCAGCCACTTTGTTGAGTTAGTGTGAATCGGTTTTGAGATTGTTAGCCGGAGTAGGAGGTAGAGGAATGAGTAGACCTTTGAAGGTAGACAATAGCTGCCTCGAGTGGGTATTTTGGATCTTGACGTTGTGAAAATCCTTCTTTGCAGCAGTGACACTACATGACAAAGACGATAGCATACACCAGAGGCTTGTTAAATCGAAAAGAGCTCTGGCCTTGTGCCATCTTCATTCTGCATTATCTGGAATGCATTGTCCCCATAGATAAATGTAAAATGTAGCTTCTACGGAATCGAAATTGGAGACTCGAAATAGTTGTTGACTCCAGATTGATTGATATCTATTTCATTCATCTCTATGTACACCGCCTTTTGCCCAATGAGAGCTGGGCTAGTCTCCAACCCCCAGCTGATGCCACTAAGAATAGACAGAATATAAAATTAATGAATCAAACAGGTTTGGTGGAGTATGAAGTTCAGGGACATGCATTGATTCCTTGTAATAGCTCAAACTCAGATAATGAGACAGAAATGATGTTGAGACTAATAATGATATTTGTTAACACAAGAACTAATGTTAACCCTTTAAAGCCTGATCCAAGAAAAACGGAAGAATATTGGATTTTTTTTAGTCTGAAGTCTTTCTTTGGCCCCTCAACAACATATGAAGAAACAAAAAAAGAAATTATTTTGATCATATTAGTGTGCAATAAGTCAAAAACGTATTTTCGTGTAGTCTTCTACTGGCTGTTATCAGGTATATCTGAATGTGTACAACAGGGGTGTTAGCAAAGCTTTAACCATTGCATGATGCAAAAAGTCTTAGATCCAAAATACTTCAGAAACCGTGTGTATCAAATATGATACATTTGGCATTACAGGGTTAAAAACGTTCCCATAAAGGTCAGTTTATTTAACAAGATTGCTAAGTACAGTTGGTTGTCGTATGACAGAAACAAGGATTATGCTTTTGAATTGTTGGTGAATTATTATTATTATTTTATCAACTGGGAATTAGTATGGGATGGAAACAGCACTTTATCACTTTATCGCTTTATCACGAAATTTGTGATAAACAAGAAGAGTTCTAGGCTGTCAGAGGACAGCAAATGCACCCAGAAGCTCCAAGTTGGGCACAATGTTGAAAATTAGCCTGCTGTACGACTGCAAACCTTACTCAGTCTGACTGCAATTAACATTCTGAAGAGAATATCGAGGAATATCCTTTTTCAACTTTGTGTGATTCAAGAAAATGAAGGTTTTGCTTCATAACAACTATGTTATGTGCTTTACAGAACAATGCCATGCAGACTGCTTGTCCTGTTTGGGGGCTCCTGATCACTGCGTGAGCTGCAGGGACCCAAAAGCCTTACTTCATCTTGGCCACTGTTTGTCCAGATGTCCAGCAGGCTACCATGCAGAGGGAGGAATATGTGCAGGTAAGAATGACTAAAAGAGTTTGCACTGTTCTCACAGTAAAATACCGAAAATAAGCGACACCATCAAAGTATTTTGTAGCTAATACATGTCATTTGTTGATTAAAATGTCTCTAGTTTAAAATTTTTAACAATTGTACTGAATTTAGATTGGGGACTCCCAATAATTGTTGTCCCCAAATTAACTCTAGGAGAGTGTAGTGAATGAGAGTGAATGAGTTTATCTCATTCATCTCTGTCTACCCTGCCTCTTGCCCCATGAGAGCTGATCCAACTAGGAATAGGCAGAATAGAAAATGAATGAATTAATAAATATTAATTTAAAGAGTCTTTAAGCAGAAACTTGTACATTTATTGTATAGCGGACATTTGTAATATAACTAAGTGAAGAATCCAAACTCCAGTTTTTGTTAGAATCCCTGGGGGTTAAAAGTAAATTAATCTGGATTGGCCGTTTGCATTCGTTTATGTATAGTTGGTGCTTTGTTCATATTTGTGCATACACCCCGCAGCGCCACCTTGGCCGAGCATTAACCCATAGCAGCTATAATCTTCAAATTTTATTTAGTTGATTTCTACGCCCCATCGCTTTGAGCTGAACTAGAAAAATGCTGCATACAGCCAGTTGAAAAGCTGTGAACATCAAAAGTTCAAACCCTGAGAAGCCATCCAACATGTGCCGACTTTTAAGACTAGCTGATCTGAATTGTGATTCTACTCAGATACTTTAAAAAAATTAGAGACACTTACTTCTTTTTGGATTTACTGAGAATGCGTTAATTTTGTTCTTTAGAAAAACATGAAGCGCAATGCAAAAGAAAAAGCCTAAATGATTGAAAGTTCTAACTCTTAATCAGAAAAAAGGAAGAGATTTTATTTACAAGACACTTAATGGCTCCTTCATTTAAAGTAATAGTAAGCATCGGTGTAAGTCCAGTATTTATCTAGTCACTGACAACATTTTTTAATTAATTAATTGAACCATTTTCCCCCTTTTTTATTAGTGCTTTTTCATAAAATTGTGACTATATACATATATATATATTCCTTCAATATAGCATACTTTAATTCATTGATTGGATATTGTTTGAGTGTTCACCCATTGGTTAAATGTGAATGACCACTATGTTACCTTCTGTTTGCGCTTAACCCTATAATGCCACATTCATCATATTTGATACATACAGTCTTTTGGATCTGAGACTTTTTGCATCATTCAATGGTAAAAACTTAGCTCAAATTCCTAATGTACACATTCAGATAAACCTGATAACAGGCAGTAGAAGGCTACACCAAAACATATTTTTGACTTATTGCAAGCTAATTTGATCAAAATAATTTCTGTTTTTTTTCTTCAAATGATGTTGAGGGGCCAAAGACAGACTTCAGACTAAAAAAGTTCAATATTATTCCTGTTTTTCTTGGATCGGGCTTTAAAGGGTTAAAGCTAGAGAGTATTGGGCTATAGGCTTGATCGTATGAACCTTATTTAAAAAAGAGCTTTTTATTTTCTTCGGTAGATAAACTCCTCAAACAGATGTGCAAAGAAAACATGTTTTCTAAATTGAATGACAGTCTTATTTTATTTCCCCCCTTCCAGCCTGCCCTTCATCCTGCACCACCTGTTCCAACAGGGGGGAGTGCCAGTCCTGTGGCTCCCAGCTGCCCCTGCTGAGCACTGATAGAAGCCAGTGCCTAGCCTCCTGTCCTCCTGGTTCCTACCAGCATGGCCACACACACTGTATGCGTAAGTATCACAGGGTGTTTGGTCCACTGGAAAAAACATTTTTAACTGACATCATAGATCATTTTGTTTAGAAGCCATTTTTTCTCTCCTTTACTTTACACATATTTACTCTGTGATCCACTCTTAAAATCATACTTCAGCCTACTTTTAGTCCCTAATATTTTATTATATAACTGGGATGGGAGAAAATCTAGATTTTAAAAAATTAAGACACAAAAGAAGTTAGAAATACGATTACTTCTCCCTTCATCATTAAACAGGACAGTGAGAAATATTGAATTTGGAGTTTCCTCAGACAAGCAGAGAGGTTTCAGAAGTATGTTTGGCTTCCTTGCTTATAAAAGTATAATTTTAGTTAAAAGTGATGTCATGTTCTCGTTAATATTATATAGGCCTTTTCTTATGTTCCTCAGTAGATGCACAGTAGGAGTCTTGCATCTTTCAGTCAACTGCCTTCTGGACCATTTTTCACTTTCACAGTTCAGCAAACAAAGCAGACTTAAGACTGGGACACAGTTGGTGTGTCAGTGATTTGGGCTTCCTGGGATGAACTCTGCATGACTTCTCTTTAGTAGTCTTCAGAATAACTGATAACATCCTAACTCAATATTTCACAAAGTGATGAAGGAAAGAGATTTTTTAGAAACTGCTTCTAAGTGCATGTCTGCTGCTCTTTTGCTGCACTTTGTCTCCATCACCCTCTCCAGAACTTATTGAAATAATATATTTACAACTATTATTAATTATTATTATTCGGCAACAATTAGTTTTTAGAAGCTGCAATGGACAGTGTATGTAATAGACAATTAAATATAACTCCCCTAACCACTACAGAATCGAATGACTAAAGATGTTCACGTTGTTACTGCTTCCAAAGAAGTACCGATTCAATATTAAATGGTGAGATTGTAAATTAACAATATAAAGTTGTCCTTAAATTATTAATCTCTAATGAATAAAACGATGGATTAAATTTAGAAAGGTCAAACCCTATGGGCATTCTGATTCGCTATGAACAGTTTGCCTGAGTGCCTCCAGTAAATTGCATGGACTTTCAATGATCCCGGTGGACGATGGCTGGAAATCAGATGAATGAGAGAGAAGGGAGTTGAAGCTCACAGCTACCACTGGGTGATTATAGTCCAGCCGGTTCTGCCTTTCAGTTTCACACCTCAATGAAAGTTGCCAGGAGAGTTGTTCCAAGTCAAGTCAACTAGGCTTTATTGTCAATTTCTTTACATGCGTTGGTCATACAAAGAATTTAAAGTTCGTTTCTTGCTTTCCCGTGCAGACATAGACATAAATTAGATAAGTTAGATAAATTAGACATATAATAAGAAAATTGTGTGATGTAATAAATATAAAGTGATCAATTGTAATGTGCAATATTTACAATACAGTCATTCAAGTAACAGGCATGAAGAAAGCGGCAGCGTGCGTGTGTGTGTGTATATGTGTGTGTATGTATTTTTTGAGCTGGTTCAGTGTGTGTGTGTGCGCTATTGAGTCAAGTGAGTGTGTATGTGTGTGTGTGCTTTGAGTCAGTCCAGTGCATTTGTACTGGCGACTGGGCCCAATGGTAACAACTTTTGTACCAACTCAGTCGGGATTCCATCAGGGCTGAGAAGGGGCCAACTGACAACTGCCAGATGGTGATTGGCCAAGGAGTCAAGTGGTTAGATGGCAACTGTGTCACTGAATCCCTCCCATTTAAAAAAAAGCGGAAAAATCCAAACTCAGATTAAATTATTTCTGCAATAAACGTTGTAAATGCCAAAAACACAAACCAAAACAATAGTCCAACACCAATTTACAGTTTCCGATTTACAGTTGCGGCAATGTCCATCGTTGTCCCCCACTTGTGTTGCGTATTACTGACATTACGTGCCGTCGGCCTGTCTCTTTGTTCCGCCATGAGTTCACAGCTTCATTATAACCGTTGCATTGAGAGAGAAAATATAATGTATTTGTTTGTATTTGACGCTGACCACTTTTTAATGGATCGTGGTATTAAATGGCTGTGTGATGTGCTTTAAAGGGGACATATTATGCAAAACCAAGTTTTTAATAATTTGATTATGTACATTTGGCCTATCAGCAGGCAAAGTGTGAAAAAAAATGACTCAGTCATATTTTTGTGGGCCGCCTCAGTGTCAATACAGGAGATAAATCAGGCGGTTTCAAGAGTGGGTAGTTTCTGACGTCATTAGCTCTAGCTCATTATAATATTCCAG